GCGCCGCTCCCTGCCCCTTGCCCCCCACCGCCACCGGCCGCCACTCGCTTTAATCCGGAGCATGCGCCCGAGAGCCGGGCACCGAGAGGGAGAGCTCGGCGCCCCCAGCCGGCAGCCGCCGGAGCCTGCAGCGCGATCCCGGCCTCCCCCGGGCCAGGACGGGGGAGGAGTGTCATCGCTCCGTGCACACGGGTCACTTCACGGACCGGCCTCCAGCCCCCGGGCGGGGAAGGCAGGAGTGTGCAGGGCTCAGAGGACCCCCCCGAGGAGGCCTGAACCTCCTGCTTCCTACCAGCTTCGGTCCTGCAGCTTATACCCCTACCGCGTCTGCAGCCTATTTGCCCCAGCCACCGGCAGCAAGCCTGGTGCCTCCAGCACATCCTTCCCCTGGCACAGACGTGCAAAGCACCCACCTCGCCTTGCTGCGGAGTAGCAACTGAGGCGATCACGCAGCTCACCCGAGCCATCATGAATCTCTTACTCTTAGTTTCGCACTGGGGCAGACGAGAGGAGCGAGGTGTTTCAAGTAGCCCCACGCGCTAGGTTTTGTGGCTCTTGCCGTGGGTGGGAAGCTGGGGCAGTTCTCCAAAGGTGGTGCCCGCAACATGTTTTGCAGATGCACAAGGCCCCATGCTCCGTTAAGAGCGAGTCAAGATGACCAGCCTTTGCGAAGTCGTTTCTCAGATTCAACTTTCCCCATCTGTTAAACAAATACAAGCCAGCCACGCAAGAGCAGAACAAGAGCAAACACCCAACGGCCCCCAGTTGGTAAAGACAAAGTCCCAAATCGTCATTCATCGAGGCATATGTGAGCTCAGTAGGGCAAGGATCTTCCAGGGGCTCATACAGCATAGCTCCTTGACCTGTTCCACTTCAGAGGATCAGACAAGGAGGGTGGAAGGGACCTCAGGGCACTAGTCCGACCCCCTGCTCCAAGCAGGGCCAGCCCTAACTACATCATCCCAGCCAAGGCTTTGAGCCAGGCCTTAAAAACCTCCAAGGATGGAGAGTCCACCACCTCTCTAGGTAACTCATCCCAGTGCATCACCCTCCTAGTAAAAAAGTTTTTCCTAATATCCAACCTAAACTTCCCTTGCTGCAATTGCTCCTTGCTCTGTCATCTGCCCCCACTGCAGAGAGTTCTTTAGAGTTAAATCCCTGCCTTGCGTACACAGAAAACATCCAACTCGGCCCTCTCCCTCTGCAGCGAAGCAGTTAACTCTCAGGGTGAAAGCCGATTGCCTACACAAAACATCAAACTGGTGAAGGCATCTAGTCCAACACCCATTTTTGCTGCTATAAGCACATTAAAGTTACACTCGAGGGCTTGAGTATGGTGATGGCAGGAATACAGCCTATTCAACCCTAAGTTTCTGAAGCGTGTACATACATACATGCACACACACACACACTTCAGAAACATATATTTAAATTGTGTATTTTGTGAGTGGGAACAGAGAAAAAGAAGTCAACTTTTTCTTTACCAACAGAGAAAAAAAAAAAAAAGAAAAGAAAAGAAAAGGAGAACTTCAACCAGAAACATGCTTTAAACATTAGTTTCCTTTCCAACAGGAACAGTCATCTATATGGGTCAACTGTTCCGGGTTTCTCTTCCTTAAAGCCCCCACACTGACCTGGATGAAAAGCAGCGTCTCCCATCAGTTCCCCATTGCTGCAGGGTACTGCCATGCCTCTGGGGATATTACATTTAGACATGACCTGGGACCCTCCTGGAGGGGATGGATCATATCCCTAACATTCTGGTTTCAAGCAAATGTTTAAGTTTCCTTTCATTCAGAAAGAGCCATTTGCTAAAACACTTGATTTAGCAGGTCAGAGGCACGCAGCCCTGGTGAGCAAGGCCCATCAAATGTCAATTCCAGAAGGTCACAAGCTGGGGGTATATGTGCCGCTAGGAGCATGCCGTGAGCTGCAGATATACACTGAATTCAAAGCAAAGCAAAATAGCTGAAAAGATTCAGGCTGTGATTGCTTTATAGTTTTAGTGACCTTGCGTTACTGCTGTTATTCCATGATACGGAAAACAAAAGTGCAGCCAGCTCAGGGCTGAAAAAGTCAAAAAAAGTTTGAGAACCACTAACCTAGCAAGTATCAGCCCAATCATCACACTTAATATTTCTGTTTCTGCCTTTAATATCATGGAACAGAGCAGAGGGCAACATGGAGACTGTGGCAGATTTGATGAAGTTGGACTGCACCCATTTGCATTTACTTGATCAGAGCTAGCATCTGGATTGCATTTTCCAGGCAATGTCCCCATGGGAAACCCTGAGTGCAGTTTCTCTCCCATTTTGTTGATATTTCCAATGATTAAAACCGGAAAGTTTACACTGAGCCTCCAGTCAGTCTCTTCAGGCCCGACAAAGGCTGTAACAGTGAAAACAAGACGGCTAACATCAGAGATCTTCCAAAAACACACAAGAACCCAGTTGGGTACCACTACTGTTTGCAGGAAATATTGTTACCAGGCGCTCTTGAGCTTCATCGATTGAATGGAAAGACAGAGCCAGGAAAACACTTTAAAACCAGTTCCTTTATTCACCAGACAGTTTTCAGAACATTCTTTGAGGAATTTTCAGGCCTTCCTTAACAGGTATTTGTCCTTTAAATGCCACAAACTATAGATGAGACTGGCTACCACGAGACTGGCTTCAAGTTCCACCATTACTCTCATGACGCAGAACCACTGCACCAAAATCTGTTCATTCCCCCCATTTATCTCCCTTTTACGTTTGTTTGCCAAGGCTCTCTGGAGAGCCCAGGCAGGCTGTTAGGTTGCATTTGCTAGTGGCCACCCCCACCCCACTCCAGTGTAGATGAGACTTTGTGCTACAGTTGGTCAAGTTAAAACCCACACGAGGTAAGCCACAGCTTTACTTCAATCAGCTGAGCACAAATAAAAAGTAAGCACAAGTCCATACAGCTTTGTTTCGATTTCACCATCTCTGCCTCTTCGTTTCTTATTAACACATTTTCACTGAGCCCAACTGGGTCCACAACTCCTATTCCCGGAGCTAAATCTTGATGCTAAGGCGTTAGCGTCTCACTTTAGGGAATGTATTATGCTCATCGCATTAATGTAAAGGATTAAAATACAAGTCCATAATGGGACTGACATCTTCTGAGACGCTTGGCAAGGAACCTGGAGACAAAGTGGGAGGCTGAACCTCCTTACCGGTTGCTTCAATTTACCTGGGGAGAAAAATGATATCATGTCAGTGGTCTGTTCCACAAGATTATACCCTTTTTCATGCAATTCATGGACAGAGCCTAGAACCAAGTCAGGAGAACCCAGCTGCCCAACGCCGGTGATGAAAGGCATTTCTGTTTCTCCAGAAGAAAGACTGGGCTAACACACGTCCATCACAGGATAAAACTAATTCATAAACCCTTTAAATATATAGGGTGCATTACCACATTGTCCATCTTCTGCATATCCCTTGGACCTGTCCCTGAAGTTCCCCAAAAGTATCAGGTCATGGTCGCCTCTGCTCAAGGCTCAGTCTTCTGGGCACCCATCTTGCTCACACCTAGCATCATGGTGGGTTTCTCTGGTGTGCTTGGACCGTCGCTCATCCTCGGCGCCGATTTTCCCAGGCTTACGTTCGGCTGCCCAGCTTTTTGCCATGGTATCTGAAGAGGCTTCGTGTCCCAGGGCTGTCATCAGACTTATCCCCTGGAGTGTTAATCACCTCTCCAAATCTGGTCTTCTCCATCTGTCACGTTTGACAACTGGCATCTCCTCATGCAGTCCTGCACAAATAAGAAAAAACTGGCTGTTGCCACCAAAATGCATTCAAATATCATTTTGACCCACGGCAGCTGTTAAAACCTAGCGCAGCAAACAAGTCAGGGTCTACTCCCTGAGCACAGGCTCAAAGCACCAAATTCTCTGGGCAGATACCTGAAGCATAACTTTTACGGTCTACTGCAGTATCTACGGTTGGTCTACTATCATTCTTTCATAAGCCAATAAAAAGACAGCTACCACCAATAAGCAGATGTGAATTATAAGGATTTAAAGCGTCTCCTTGACTAGCAGCTGCAATAGTAGAATTACTCACCTTGCGTGGTGCCATGTAGCATCTGAACCTAAGAAAGAAAACCATTCCATAAAGATGGATGAGTCACCAATCCCATCAGATCTCTTTATAATTCTTTGCAACACACACATCAACAGCCCTGACAAACAAGATACCAACTGATGTAATGTTTCCTGCATGGTTTGTCTCCTCTGTCACGGTCCAAGGACTCAGAGAAGCCATAGGAATATGCAGGCTGCAGACCAGAGGCCCGGCTTGTTCTCCAACGTCGTGGAAGGGGACTATACGTCATGGAGCCCGAAGGCCTACGCTCCCGTACGCCACACGGACAGAGCCGAGAGAGAGCAACCTCTCCGGATGTCCACGTTGGACAGCAGATTCAATGCACCGCAATAGGCTGTTCCCCACCCCCACCCCATGCATTCACCTCCCAGATGCAAACCAGTAGCTCACAACGTCAGTGGCCCAGTAACCTCAATCCAGTACACGGATGGGTCACCTACCACACAACACGTGAAACCAGGAATGTCAGAAAAACTGAGCATTGGCCTCGAGAGCCACATATGAAATGCGCTGGTTTCACAGCTCCAGCCCTATCACACGAGCATCACAGCCTGGAAGAATACATTTGCAAAGAACCTATAAAATACCACAAATACTTACTTTGTGTGTAGAGTGCCACGCCGGAAAACCGCCGAAAAAAAAAGGGGAAAAAAAAAAAAAAAAAAAAAAAAAAAAAAATGCACGTTAGCTTGGCTACTCTCCCCAAATTAGCAGTTTGTCACAGCTTCATGTAAAAGTACTACTCAAATGCTGTTTGACTGGATGTGCTGTTTCCTGCATGGTTTGTCTCCTCTGTCACGGTCCAAGGACTCAGAGAAGCCATAGGAATATGCAGGCTGCAGACCAGAGGCCCAGCTTGTTCTCCAACGTCGTGGAAGGGGACTATACGTCATGGAGCCCGAAGGCCTACGCTCCCGTACGCCACACGGACAGAGCCGAGAGAGAGCAACCTCTCCGGATGTCCACGTTGGACAGCAGATTCAAGGCACTGCATTAGGCCATTCCCAGCATGCATTAACCTCCCCAATACAAACTTAGTTCATCAGGTCAACAGCCCAACAACTATAATCCAATACATGGATTTATCATACAACAAGCAA